GACGTGAGCGATGTCGACGGCGACGTGCGTGGCGCGCCCGAGGTGGAGGTGGGGGCAAGGGCGGAGGACGATGGGGTGGTTGCGCGCGTCGTTATTGCTGCCATGTGTATTCGATGCTTGCTAAATCGTCATACCTAACGCGCCGTCAGTCTCCGCTCTCACAACACGATCCTACACGCCGCCCACGACCTGCACCGCCCGCGACATGCTGCGCACGCGCGACAACGTGCCGCGCAGAGCTTGCCACTGGCCTGCGTGCTTCTCGTTCTGCTCTGGTGCGCGTGTGCGCTGATCGGGACACTGCTGCCGGGAAGACCCACCGGTTACTGTATCCTCATCCGCAGCGGTAAACGCGCTCCTCCACAACTGCCGCTGGACAGCAGCGCAGCAGGACTCCAATGCGACCACTGCAAGACACGGTCGCACAAGGGCGCATTCGAGTGTCGCAATGCGCACGCCGGTCCTATACGAAAAGCAATGGGCCGACCTGGTGATTTGAGTAGCGGCTACGCGTGGACAGGTCTAGAGCCACGCAACCTCTCAAATCAATGCTCGCTCGGACAGCCACGCGGGTGGTGATGCTGCCGCGACAATGAATGCCGTCAGCGACGCCGTGTCGCCGTGGCAGCTGAGCCAGCGGACAACGGTGAGAGAGCGGTGGTGCTGAAGGTCCAGCTGCTGCTGCGTCTGCTTGGCCGGTGGACTGCTTCCGGTTTGTGGCCTCTATCCTGCGGTGGCGTCTGCTGCAAAGCCGGGGCCCGTGGCGGAAGATCCGTTGGCGCCGTGTGCCGGAGCTCTGAAGTCGAGGTTGAGCGGGCGTGCGTGCGCGCAAACAAGTCGGTGTCAAGTGCAAAAGGCAAAGAGGCACAACGTTGCAAACATGAGCAGGAAAGGTGCAGTTCGTGCGGCCACCAGCGTTCGGCTTTCTGGGAACATGGGCTTGCGATGCGCAAGTGGGCTGCCTTCGAGGCGCAGCAATCCGGCCGAACGACCACTCGTCACCGGGCCAAGGCCAGTGCTCAGTCGAATGCCATGAGCCCAGCCTCATGGATCGTCGCTGACGCTGCTCCGACGGACAGGCACCGTTGGTCTTGAGCCACGCTGCTGCTCTCCATGCTTCTTGCGCCCTGCCCGCCGAGTCAATCGTCTATCGACCATATGGCTGACGACCAAGTCCATCGCCAGACCGCGATGTCATCCATCAGCGATTCGCCCTGCGTGCATCTCCAATCTGCCCGCGACAGCGGTTTATCCGATTCACCACTCAATCTCAGCCAGTGCTGCAGCAACGAGCACGAGTCCCACTCGATCGGAACTTCTCTACACATCGGCATTCGTGCCACCACCATCCCGCCGGGTGTGGCGGTCTACGTCACTCGTAAAGGCGTGAGAGTTCTGAGTGGCTCGAGCTCCCTTTCTTTTGAGCCTCACTTCTCCGCCAAGACCCAAGTGCGCCGCCGCCTCGTCCGCAACCACAGTCTTCCCTTCGTCGCCGAGCAGCATCTTGCGGTGCCGCGCCTCGTGGGAGAAGCGCGGACCTGAAGCAGACCATCGCACGCACACTGCGCGGAGGCGAAGCTCGTAAGCTGCAGCCACTCGACAGGCATTGCGTTGCTCGACCGCGTGGTAAGATCGTCATTGAGCTCGCATGCGACTGTGAAAAATCAAGATAGCACAACGAGATGATCCTTGGCACCCTGTGGCTTTCTCGTTGCAAACCTGCCGTCTACACGATTCTCCACTGTCAACCAACGCGCTGCGCGAATCACCGTGCTGACACCCTGGTGTGTGATGCGCAGGCGATGCGCACGTTGAGGCGAGCATCTTCGCGAACCCGGCTTGCTCGTCCACACGATGGACCGCACGTGTGCGGCCGAAGAACTGCCTGACGACTGTTTCCATGTGCAAGTCGCGAGCATGGAGAACATCGCCAGTTGCGTGCCTGTAGTGCATCGAGAGTTTGGCTAAATGTCGATCAATGCCACTCGATTCACCTGCCACATCGAGCGCCACAGCTCACGAGTTGCGAGCATCGCTACCGTAAAATCGTCTGCTATATTGCACATCAATCTGCCGCAATTGCCGTTCCCTCCCCAAAACGCGCGAGCTCAAGACATATGCTGGCAGTTTCTTCCGAACAGATCGTCTGGACAATGCTGAGATAGAGGTCTAGACTTCACGCACAGTGGCACTTCTCACACGTCTGCCGGGCTCCGAGCAATAACTTTACCTTGGCTGCAGTAGTTCTTCGTTGATACAGTGTCAAGATCCGGCCGACAGTTCTTGGAACTCTTGAGGACGCCATCCACGTGAGACGAGCCGTACAGGAGCTCAACTTCCGTGGAGCACTGGCGGCAGTCCGCTAACGTACACTGGCGTGAGTATGGAGAAGTGTCGAAGGCGTTCATGAACTTGATCATCGGAATAATTCGAATGCGTGGTCACCTGTCACATTTCATCATGTCAATATGCTGTTCCTGAGTCCGACTGTTTCTTCACAAATGTGCTGGCATCGTGACTCGGCAGCGCGCATGAGACGGAGGATCATCATGCAAATGACAAAGCCAAGCCGCCACAGGGTCTTGCAGAAACTCTTTGGGGGAGTGGACCAGACCGTCTTTCCTCAAACGTGAAGATCTGCTGGAGTCGAGGCAGAACGGTCTTCTTTGGACCAAGGAGAATGAGACTTGCCGGCCTGGTTGCGCGGAGATGCTATGAACCTCATGACCCGACATCTTTCGATTGCCACAACACCCTGCACGCAGATCCTACTTACGTACTTGCAGAATGGGGTCCGCGCAGACAATATCTGCGAATTTGGAATTCCAGCGTGCAGTCGAAAACATCCATAAGATGGCGAAGTAGGCTGCCGTCGCTGTGCAGGCAAGCCATGTCGCCAATGTCTATTTACAAGATAGGAGAGCTTGGATGTCTCTCCTTATTATTCAGCTCCAGAGAGTACAAAAAATTATACATTCGACGCGAGCCTCATTGAAGCTTCTTGAACGCGTCGTCAAAGTGAGCACAGTATGGGCGATACATGACTGTCAACAAAGTGAAAAGTTGAGTCGTGCAATCCCTCGTCTTGCAGCCAATATCATGTCGTGTTCGCGCCAGCAAGTACACCTCAGACTACGCCGAAGGGAGATATTGGTAGCAATGTCATGGTTCCATCACCGCAGATGCGTGGTGGGAGTTGAGCCAGCGGCAGCAGAACACTCCGTGAACCACAGTTGTCGGTCTCGTATTCTAGCTGATGATCATTGAGATCAACATTTGGTGGCGACGGTAATCTCATGATCAAGCCACGGGGGAAGACAGTCTCACGGCTTTTGCGAGTGCAAACGGCATCAACATGAAGGAATGTCGAGCTTTGCTGGTGCTTTGCAGTTGTTCTGATGGCGAGCTCGAAAGCAGGCCAGTGGCTGCCGAAAGGTGGTCTCACATAAAACTTGGTCGTGAAGTTGTTGCTGCTCTCAACACAACACAGAAGTGTTGATGCCAAGGCCCGGCAAGCTGCCGGCGCTAGTGCTGCTAGCCGAAAGCTCTTGCTCCCGCTCGTGCTCTCACTCACTTCGACACCTCTGCCGACAACCTCGCACGCCCTTCGCGCTTACGACCACCCCCGTCGACCCCGAGAGTCTCCTCTCGATGATATACGCCGCATCAACGCGATAGCCCGAACCAACGGAGGAAGAGATGGCCGACTTCAGCTATGCCGACGACCTGGAACTGCAGAGGCTGAACGATCAAGTGGTATGAGCTGGAACTTGCGATGGCGCATGGGAGATAGCAGCTGACAGTTGAACAGCTCGCAGATCCAAATGAGTTCGAGAACTGGGAAAAGTTGGTCCGCGCCGCAGAGACACAAGAAGGAGGCTTGAACCGCAACTCGAGTCCACAAGCCATTGCTGCGACTCGAGACACATACGATCGCTTCCTTGCCCGCTTCCCGCTGTTCTTCGGCTACTGGAAGAAATATGCGGACCTCGAGTTCTCTATCGCGGGGACTGAATCTGCGGAAATGGTACGAGCTCCTCGGTCACTATGGTGAACAAGTGCTGACGGAATGCAGGTCTACGAGCGGGGTGTCGCAAGCATAGGGCTATCAGTAGATCTATGGGCCAACTACTGCGCTTTCAAGGTCGAGACCAGCCACGACGCAGATGTGATCAGAGAGTAAGTTGAAGGGCGCCCCTTTCCTTTCCATGCCCATAACTCCACAGAGCCACTCGCTCCAAGACAGCGCTATGCCCCGTGAGGGTTGCTGCACACACGCACTTGAAGTGGTGAGATATCCAACCCACAGGCTAGCTGCTATACGAGTCTCACTTTTAATCACTCAGACCCGCACTTCACCACCATTGCGCTCGCACTATTGCGCTTGCTTCTGCACGAAACGTTTGATCATGTTTATTTGATGGAGTGATGGTCATGGTTCGGGTTGGGAGTTCCAGCTCCATCATCATTATGTTCGCCACCCACTCACCCCTGTTTGAACCCTTGCTATACCCGTTGTCATTTCTGCAGACTCTGACCTTGCTCGTGCAGGCTTTACGAGCGCGCCGCAGACAGCGTTGGGCTGGACTTCCTGGCACATCCTTTCTGGGACAAGTACCTGGAATTCGAGGAGCGACTGGACTCTCACGACCGCATTTTCGCGATTCTGGGTCGCATAGTTCATCTTCCACTCCACCAGTATGCTCGCTATTTCGAGCGATATCGCACAATGGCAGCACAACGACCAATCGCTGATGTTGCGCCGGAAGACGTCGTAGCTCGTCTCCAAGCGGACATTGCACGAGAAAGCGCTGAGAAGCCGCGGAATCCAGCAGAAGTCGAGCGCGAATTGCGCACACGCATTGATGCATATCATCTGGAGATCTTCCAACGCACACAAACTGAGACCACAAAACGCTGGACATACGAACAGAACATCAAGCGACCGTATTACCACGTTACCGAGCTTGACGAGGAGCAGCTCGACAATTGGAGAAAGTACCTGGACTTTGAGGAAACAGAGGGCGATTACGAACGCACAAAATTCCTCTACGAGCGATGCCTGGTGACATGCGCTAATTACGAAGAGTTCTGGTTTCGGTACGCACGATGGACTATGGCGCAAACATCGATCACGAAGGAAGTGCGGAACGAGGAAGTGCGAATCATCTACAGCCGCGCGAGCTGTACTTATGTCGCAATCTCTCAGCCGAACATACGGCTGCACTATGCCCGATTCGAGGAGTCTATCGGCAAAGCAGACACTGCGATTGCCATTCACGAGGCAATACTGGCCACTGCTCCCGGCGACTTGGAGACCATCATTTCGCTGGCCAACACGCATAGACGCCAGTACGGCGTTGATGCTGCTGTCGCTGTTCTCAATGAGCACATCAGCAGCTCCGAGTACAACCCATCCATTCGTGGCGCACTTGTGGCCGAGTTGGCCCGCTTCCTATGGAAGGTCAAAGGCGATGTTGATGAGGCTCGCAAGACCTTCCAGAAGCAGCAGCAGTGGTTTTCAGATTCGAGCGATTTCTGGCGAGCATTCTTCGATTTCGAACTCAACCAGCCCACATCATCAAAAGAAGAACCTTCACGGCACAAGCGTATCAAAGCTGTGTTTGACGACATTCGGCACAAGGCGCACTTGCCAGCGCAGGACCTCGCTGAGATGTCTGGGAAGTACTTCGATCACCTGCTAGATCGCGGCGACTCAGACGCGATGCAGGAGTACATTGAGCTGGACATCGCGCTGAATGGACCCTCCAGTGTTGCAGTGGCTAGTAAGCAGAAGACCCCTGGAAAGGGCGCAGCCCAGGCGAATGGTTCTTAGGTACGATCACGCCCATAGGGAGGCCGTCGAGATTCTGGATCTGGCGAACGCAGTCCGTATGGCTTTTCGTTTTCGAGACTCTTCGCAGCTTGTACAAGCGTCTCGACATTGCGCTATGCATTGAGTGTATCGCGGGCAGCAGCAACGCGCCAGCTGAGAATGTAAGATACCCGGGAATTCAGCTTGGCAATCTAGTAATGCGGCAGCTACTTGCGCTTCAAATAGATTATCGTTTGAACAATCGATTGTTTCAAAGCATTGTCTTCCTTCCATCGACCATTCCGCAATTCAGTATTCTCTGTTGCGTCTATGCCCCACTGACTGTGATCTGGCGACCCGCTGTAAAGCCTGGCAGATGTCTCCTCAAACTCAGCAACAGAGTTGTGAAGGTGCGCTCTATTCTTTCTCATTGACAGGCCATGCTTCTTCTTGAATCGCTGAGACCAGAGTCCCCATCAGTCCGAGACCTGAAAGCATTCACTGCCTATGCAAAGTTGCTCTCGGGATCAAATTGAGATGCTGACTTTGCGAAGAGCATGCTGCACGCAATCCACAAGCTCCAAAATACACAAGGTCCAGGCATAGCAACAGTCACCGCGATCCCGATATGCCTCATCACCCGGCTTGGAATACGCGGGTACTTCTCTTCTCTGAGCAAGGTGTGTTGTTCGCACGCGGTGATTTTGGTGCGCTGACAGGCCCTGCCGATCTGGAACAGCAGCTTTTTGGTACCCCAAATCCGTGAGGTTGAGGTTCGGAAAGATTGCTATAGTTCGCATATCGCCAGTTGGGACGGCCGACCAGGATGTGAGCAGCGGAGGCTGGTTGTCCTTCGTAGTCTGGCCTTTTGTCCTGGCATCTTTCCTCCCTGCTTTGACGCAGTGTAGATACCATCTCCTCGGTAGCCTTCCACACGCGTGACTGCGCGCGGTTTTGGCATGATCACATCTCTTCTTATGACAGTAATTTTGCTCGACACTCGGGCGTAGACATTAGGCTGGCATCTCGTAGAGGTTGAATCCAGTCTGATGGAAGATCTTGCATCGTGTCGAACCAAACGCGTGCCATTTTCTCGTATCCTACGTTTTGAGGGTGGAGTCCGTCGCCTGAGAGGTCGGTGCTGTAGACGATCAGGTCAGCATGGCTGACAGGTTCTGGTTTGAAAAGACATTTCCTTACCCTCCAATAGCAGAGTGATCTGCCACTCGTACTTTGTAGCCCTGCGCTTGCCAATGCGCCACTATGATTTCGACGCCAGAGTTGTAGGTCTGCACCAGTTGTGGGAATTGTGTATTGTCAATGATTTTGGCAACGAGCAGGACTGCGTCGGGGCATTCGCACAACACTGCTTCGACCAAGGTGTTGAGCCGTTGTGGTGCTTCCTCGAACGGATCCACGGGCGCTTGGCCAAAATATGTGTTCATGTCGTTTGTGCCGACGTGCAGTAGGATGACGTTTGGATGTTGGAGTAGAATGTTATCGTCTGCGATCGCTCTCCGAATTTCTTTGATTAGTAGACCAGCATGACCTTCATGATCGTTGTCGAGACTGTCTCCGTGTTTCAGCGATCCTATGTAGTCTGTGGATTGACCTGAGTGACATGTCAGAAGGCGATCGCATCTCTTGATGCTCTGCGACTGACCAGATCCGATCAGCATGTTGCGAAGAGCCGGGCGGTAAGCATTAAAGCGATCATCTGGACCACCTCTCGTTGTACTGTCGCCAAGAGGAAGTATGCGAAGCGGTATTTTGCTGCTATGGCCGAAACCAAGACCACTTGATGTCCCTGTACAACACCAATCAATCAGTGAACATCAACAACGGCGCTACCTCCGAGCTTCGTACCGCGCGACATAGAGACCATTGACAAGATAATCAAGAAGAAGACAGCCGTAAATGCGATGAAGCATACTTGCCGCCATGACTTGATTCGTTGCTCCATGTCAAAGTGCAGTCGACAAGGATTGATGAACGAAGAAAGTGCGTGTGCTACGAGCAAGGTAGCAACCAACGGTGGCGGTCCTCTGCATACCTCATCGCAGCCTTGCACAAATCTCGTATAACCTCGTTCTCGCCTATGAGCCGTTCCTGCAGATGACCTACCCCTTTCGGAAGGATGACCAGCGTATCCGGAGGCTTCCTATTGAGTAAGCCTTTCACATGCTGCGCGATTAGCTTGTGATATTGACTGCTATGCTGCTTGATTGCCTTTGGCATACAGTGAACAGGACATCTGGCGAGCTTCTCGAAACGACATGTTTGAACCACGTGTCGGGAGTTATGCGTTATCCCTTTCCGGAACGGCGGCATCTGGCATGCGGCTCGCGCGTGACGCCGATCTTGAAATGTTTTGGGCTCAACTCAATTGGCCAGTGGTAGGAAATCTATGTACGAGGCGCCTGCACACACGGCACAGAGTCATGTCAGGTCTGTGTTCACCTCATCATCGTTCGCGTTCGTATGCCAGAAAACGCCCAGGAAGATCCGAAAACAGTCTCTCCTTCTGGTTCAGACTTAGACCATGCCAAAAGCTGCCGAACAGGACGTCCCGATATCGCGCTGATCTGTTGATTGCTTCCAGGTCATCGGTGTTGATTATTGCACATGGGGATGAAAAGCGGAAAGAGATTTGAACCACATTTGCTCTCATGTATCGCTTGCTCAGCTCGCTGTCGTCTCCGTCTTGAAAATTGTCATTTCTCGTCTCGGAGGCTTTGCTCGTTTGAGCGTGACAACATTGGAGTGCTATGTAGCATGTTTGTCGGAAGGATTGCCCACCGCGAAAGCAGAATAGCGGAAGGAAGTCGAGCGCCGAGGCCCGGCTGACTTCCACTTTCCGGTTCGACTTGCCTGCTGCACCATGATTTGCGAGCCTACAAAGCAGCCACTCGAGACTTCGAATGCCATGCCGAGGCATTGAAGACCTCCAAACCACCTTGCATGAGCAACGTAGTCCACAACATCGGCTTTCTTTGTCGATAAACTAAGTTGGAAGCAAGAGCCATTGGCCTACTGGACTTGTCAAACCCTAGCTACCTTCTCGACAGGGCTTTCTGGTATGAAGGTAAAGTGCAACAAGATTCATACTTGGTGTTGCGCGAAGTGATGCTGTGCAGTCGATTTGAAAGCTCAGGGTGGTTTTGAGTGGGGGTTCTCAAAACGTCTGATTATTCGCAACCGACGCATCATGGCTCGTAGCCGCTGCATAAGCAAAGCTGAATTTTGTCAATGTCTCGGACTGCAAGACGACTCAATGGACGTTGCTGTGCAATCCTACCTTGCGAGCCATGTCGCCATATTGACGACAGCATACAAGAAGCACAGCTTGCATAGCTTATCGTGCTGACCCCGTGCTTCCCGGGCTTTTCACCAAATGCTCGATGCTTCCCTGGACGTTTCGTGAACATGCACATGCTGCACGCTCAATCCTCCTTCTTATCCTTCTCACACTTCTCTTGCTCTTGCTTGTCACAACTCTCCTTGAAAGCCACCAGACGCTGAACAACAATCGCGCCGACAGCAAGTGCAACAACACCTCGAACAGCTATGTCCATTACTAGTGAACCGGTCCCGCCCATGGCAGCACTTTGGAAGGTCCGCATTGCTCCTGGAGTGCCGAATCGGCTCTGTAAACTGGCGAATATGCCTCCTGTGGCTGATTAGCACTGCGAATTCCCACTAGCTTCAAATCTAACCTACCTGCAGCAGGCCCTCCTACAGTAAGGCCAAGCAAATGCAACACTGGCCCCCAAGCAAGACTAGGGTATATCAGAATCAGAGGCGCGATAGTCAGCATCACGATTACACCAGGGTTCTGTTCCGCAAACTTGAGTGCAGCTTGTGCCAATTCTTCCAGTTTGAGTCCGGCAAGCTGAAGCTTTTCTTTGATCTCCTCCATCGCAGCACCTGCGTCGAATTCCGCAAGGCGCTTTTCTGCCTCTTCGACAGCCGAGCGAGCATGGTCATTGATGAGCGACAAGGTTTCGGCCAGTTTAGCATTGAGGTTGTTGAAAGTCCCTGCAGCCGCGTTGCTGAACTTCTCGGCGTGTTCGTGTCCAGCCTCGACGGCTGCCTGACCAATGGATTCTGCGACTTCAGCGGTGTATTCGGCGTGAGGCTTGAGGTCATCGGCCGTCCCGGCGACCGCGTTGTTGAAGTTATCACCAAGTTCGTGTCCCGCCTGGGCGACAGACTGCCCAGCGCCTTCGAATGCTCCAGCGGCGTTTTCCAGACGAGGTTTGATGTCGTTCGCAGCCGCGCCAACAGCGCTGAAGAAGCCGTCCATGATGCTGACGTTGGTGTGAGAAGAGACGGTTCGGGGTTCAGAGCACACTTCTTGTGGCTGCGCCAAGTTTGACCGATCTCGAAGTGAAGAAGCCCGAGAGCATGCATTTCAACGTCAGAAAGCAAACAACGGGTAGCAAATACCGGCGCGAATTACTCGAAGCCCGAAAAGCGCTGGCGAACAGAAACAGCTCGAAGCGACCAGACGACTCCAGAACAAATGAGTCTATGCAGATGTGGAGAAGTAGAGGCGAAGATGACAAGGCAAGATGAATGCCTTCAAAGTCATCATACAGCGCATGGCTCTCCAAAGCGGCGTTGGTTTCGTCCAGGCATTGTATCCATATGACCAAGGCTACACTTTCGGAGAATAGGGACACCTTGGTACTGCTTCTTCCGCTGATCCTGAATTTGCCATACTGGGCTTTCGATGTATTGGTGTTATGTAGGCTAGACAGTCTGTCCTTACTCCCGTGTTGCTGTGGTATCGCAGTGTCCGTTCGTGAGATGCTCAACCACGTGGCAACCTCGCTCGTGCTGCGTGTTCCCCCATCTTTACAAATAGATTACTGGGGGAGGGGCCTGCGTGCCGCTGGGAGGCTCAAACTGCTCGCCAAAAGCAGCCGGACAGACCTCGAAGAGGACATAAGCCTCGAAGAGGGCATAAGCTTGTATGGATCTGTCCATAATGGGTTCACCCCATCCGCCCATTTGAGCACTCTGCATCATTGGCATGGGCCATGGAGTGCCAATCTTGCTCTGTAAAGTGGCGAAAACTCCTCCTGCTAACAGTCAGCGCACGAGCCTCCTCAAAAGAAAAAAACAGGCGGGTTCCCACCTGCCTCAGGTCCCTCCGAAGTAAGACCCAAGTTGGACAACATCGGCTTCCATGTAAGTGCTGGGCACAGGAGCGATGGCAGCATGTTGAAGAAGAAGTACTTCGCGCTTTTTCTGGATCTTCCTTCACGAACTCGAGCACAATGTGAGACAAACTCTTCGCCTCGAGGCCGTTCAGTCTGAATTGATGCTTGATACCACTGGTCGCGCAGGTACAATGGTGTTCGAAGTGATGTCTGTAGTCGAAGACGGAGCTGGCGATGGTCGCAACGAGACTCACAAGGCGCTCTCGGTAAGGGCCCGTGGTGCTCGTACTGGCGACAATGTGAATGATCGCGTCCTCGTGATTGAGGTTGATGTGAACAAGACGGTGTGCTGTGGCTATTAAAGGTTGTTGTGGGACCATGCCAAGATTCAAGCCCGAAAGTGAAGAGGCCGGGAAATGTGCATGAGATATGCAGCAAACGGAGAGGCGAACTTCTATAACGCCACGAGCAGCACCACAGAGACGAGCTCCGCCCTGCACACGATTTGCTGAAGGTCAAAAATATGATGTCAAGGATTTGGCCACTTGCCATAGAACAGCAGGAGATGTACCGATGGAACGATAGGCCTTCTGGATACCTTACGAAGCACTCAGCGGACGAATTTTCAGAGCAGCGTTGGTCTCCTCGAGAGCATTGTATCCGTACAACCAAGGCTGCACTTCCGGACATTGCCATCGACTTGGGAACTTGACTTCGATGTCCTTGCCCAGCTGAGACAGCATCAGCTTGTCCCGCTTCTGCTGTTCCGGTCCATCTGGCATGTGGAAGTCATTCCTTTGAGCGAAAGTTTCTCTCACAATAGTCTCGCCTCTCTTCTTACGCAATTGCTCGTAGAGCTTGAGAGCGGCAGGCAGCTGATCCTTAGACTCCAGCGCGCCCAGGATACTCCCCAGGACAGCGCCATCTTCCACACTGGAGTTTGCGCCTTGAGCAAGGTAGGGCAACATTGGGTGGCAGGCATCTCCGACGAACACAAAGTTGGATTTGGGGCTGATCCAGCTGTCGAGCTCTGGTCGATGCATCAACTTCCACTTGTCGATGGATGTCACATGGTCCAGGAAACGATTGAGAATAGGATCCCAGTCCTTGAATATGGCTCGCATCTCATCCGTGGAGCCCTCTTGCCTCGCGACATCAGACGGCAGATTATCTGGGACAAGCAGAACGATGTTGAACATTGTGCCATTGCGTATGGAGTACGCGACGACGTGGGCTTCCGGCCCAATCCAGAACTGAGCTGATGGATTCGAGATAATGTCCCGAATCTGGGGATCTTCCACGTCGTCAAGATTCAGTACGATCCTGTACGCAAGATCCCCTGTGGGAAGCGGGGCGTCTTCTTTCTTCCCTTGCATGGCCAGGAACTTTTGCCTGCATATCGACCACAGTCCATCTGCTCCCACAAGCAGGTCTGCTTGCAGCACTTCCCCATTCTTCAGCACAATTTTGGCATTTTCAAAATCCACATCTTCCACTCTCGCCCCGAGCCTGATCTGAACACCCAACTCTTTGGCACGCTCGGCAAGCGTCCTCTGTACATCTACGCGATGCAAATCCCAGAACGGCGCTCCATACTTCCTTCTCATCTCATGCCCGAAATTTTCCGTGTTCGATAGAACCTTACCGTCTTGCCATCTTCTTACGATCAAGGATCTTGGTTCTGCAGCCTGCGGTTCGAGCTTATCAAGAATGCCGAATTGCTTGAAGACTCTCGATCCATTCGGTGTAATTTGAAAGCCCGCACCAATCTCGGCCAGTTCCCTCGCTCCTTCGAGAACGAGGACTCGATGGCCTGCTAACGCGCATGATATGGCAGTGCAGAGGCCGCTGATACCAGCGCCGACGACTGTGATGTCGAGAGGGGATGAGGTGGTCCGTTGGGCGTTCGTCATGGCTGATGGATCTGGACAAGTGAGGAGCTTTTCGAAACTTACGAGTGGTCAGCTATGCTGCAGCTATATACCATGAGCAGCAGGAGACTAGCTTCGGTCTCTCGGTCTCAAGTTGCGACATAGAATGCCGGTTTGCATCTCCAGGATGTGAGAGGTGAGAGCTGGGGGATGTTTGGAGGAATCAGGGCTCCGGCCGGCGTTGCCGAAGCATTTGCCGTCCACGTCGCCCACCTTCTTCGTCGCCATCTCCGTGCTCGGACTAACAAACGGCGATACAGGTTCCAAACGCAGAGTCATCATGGAAAGAATGCTGACTCCTGTAGTTGGTTCCGAATTCTATGCAGTCGACACGGCGATCATTCATCCCCAGTGCGGGGCGAGAAGGGCGTGCTTTTCACGGCCTCAGATGTCCCCTCATCTCAAATGACAAGATGCTTGAAAATGTGTTACTTCCGATGACACCGGTCGTCTTTACTTAATCTAGTCTACCGGCAGACGCTTGACATCTAGCAGTTGCAGCATGCATGGTCCTGACTAGCATTCACGACGCCAGTACTAGCAAGCAGAATGACGTCGGGTAGCAGGGCTTCAATGCCTGGAGCTCGTTTGCCAGACCCATGTAGGATCGCAGTGAAAGCTGACTTGACTTGCAATATCACAGCAAATATAGCCCAGAACTTCTGAGGGACCTCTAGCGACCATGGACCAACAACGCCTTCGACAAACCTTTCCACCCGAATCCTCTGCCAGTAAACTCACACTTCCAGTCCCCAAGCTTGCGCTTGACTTCCGCATGTCTGCGAAGCTCAATCCTCTCATCCCGGTAGGAGAAGGACCATGGGGCAAACGGAACTGGATTTCATTCTCTGGCGGGACATGGACAGCATCGTGGGGATCAGGAACAGTGGAGGTAACACCACTCCCTTCAAACATTCTGCTTTACACCTAGATTGACAATTCTCTGCAGCCCGGCGGCCAAGACTCCCAACTCGTCCTTTCAGACAGTTTATCCACATATGTCACGACCAACTACCTTCTCAAGACTTCCGATCCCGAACCCGCGTACATCACAGTGCAAACTACCGGATGGCGGACAGGTCCCAAGGAAGTCATGGAGAAATTGTTCAATCCGGAAGAAGCGGACACAGTGAAGGCAAGTGAGTATAGCTTCCGGTTAAGTGTGAAGCTGGAGACGGGAGACCAGAGATACGCGGAAAAGGTGAACACAGGAATGTGGATTGGGAGTGGTGCGAGAAGGGGGGCGGAAGGTGAGTTTCACTTTCTCTTTTCTCCCCTGGAGAATGTCTTCAGTAGCCTGACGCGTCCTCAATTGCGGGCTAATGTTGCCACCACGCATGGCGAACCCGCGAACGTTGAGCTGATTGGATGCAGTGATATACGACGCATATCGAGTCCTATGATCGCGATTGGCGAGTGCCACAGTCGACTGGTACCACCTCAATATTAGGAAATGAAGACCTTGCCCTTGTCCGTGCTGAGCTACTGTATTCTTTCCCAAACCGAAATATCAGGTCGCCCCATCCAGAACGCACTTATGCTTCTTTCTCTTTACTTCTCTCGTCCCAGCGCCCGACTGGGAAGCTCGGGGCGCAGACACTGGGAGTTCGCGTACCTCCGGCAGCGTAGGGACGAAAAGCAGACGCAGGGGACGACAGACGAAAGCTCCAAATTCGCAACTGAAATATGTTCAGAAGGATGTGCAGGTACATTCCTTCCAGCTTCCTTCCAATGGCCCCTTCAACTTCGAGCAGTTCTCATTGCGGGTTCACCGCTTTTCCAACTGTCACTGCTCAACGCACCGTATCAACGTACCGATGCCAACCATCAATGTACATCATGATGGCCATGCACCTTCTATGATTACTACGTGACATTCCATCGAACTGCACAGCTCTACTAGTGTGTTCTCATTGCTGCGCAAACTCTCGGTCTGGCCGAGGTACCAATAACTTCGCGGTGGTACACATCAGCTGGTCGGGCTAGTAGCGGGTGGCTTGAAGCCACCACCGCTGTGGAAAAGGTGTTCCACTGCCATCATCAAACATGACTTGGGTGCGGAATGCGTTCTGCTCAATGGCAACAGGAAAGAGTTCTAAATACTTGTGTGCAACGCGCCAGCAATCCTGCGATAATTCTGAAGTTCTTGGTTCGCAAGACGTATCAAGTATATCACCCGACATCCCGTCAAGACATACTTTGGCACGCCAGCGGGATCTTCCTTCAACGCCACCTGTCAAGCATGATGGTATTCCGAGACATCTCATCAAAGCACTTTGCTCAAAAGGGACTCAGCTGAGCCTATTCAAGACCAGGGCTGATGCTTAACCTGCGTCTACCACAGATTCCTGTTCGGCCGTGCGTGGGCTGCCACGTGGTTAAGCGACAAGTCTATCTTTCTTCTCTCGCCGACCCATGGCCTCGCCGGCGGCCCTATGGCACCTTCCTGTCCGGCCATTGTGACGTTCGACTGAAAGAAGATGAGTGATTGAAGATACAAGAGGAAGGGCGATGCATCATCCCCAGGGTCAACGATGAATACTCTGTTGCAGAGCAACCTTTCCATTGACTGTGATAGCTGCGACCGACAAAAAATTGCACTGCGAGATGAGTGGCGAATCCTTCAAGCACCATGCTCCAACAGGAGCAGTGGCAACACAGCAATCGGCCATCGTTGTTGGTGACGAAGATGGCGGTAGCATAATGTCTGCCGATGAGCAACTGAAGGCTCTAGGACATCAGCCAGAGCTAAGGCGGACGCACACATTTTGGACTTGTGAGTATACCCCAACGGCAATGCGTGAGAAGATAATCGCTCATATCTCTGCATCCAGTGCTTGCCCTTCAGACTACCATTCTCACAACGTGGTCCTGCAATATCGTCTTATACGACTATGTCTTCACACTCGGTGGCCCGATGTCGATGATCTATACAACCATTATTGTCGGCATTGGTCAGACTCTTCTCATGGCTTCTCACGCCGAGTATGCTGGAATCTGGCCCCATGCTGGAGGTCAACAATTCTATACGCAGAGAGTGGCTCCTGCACGTTACATGAGATTCCTCTCGTACGTCGTCGGGTGGTGCGTTCTCATCTCTGAGATCAGCACGTCTTCGAGCTCTGCAGTCAACAGCGCGGAGATCATGTCGGCTTTCATCGAATATCAGTATCCGGATGTCGCTTGGAAGGTAAGTCTTATGGTATTATCCGCAAGAGCGCTCAATTTTGACTTATTTCCAGCCGTGGATGACATTCCTTATCTACATTGTGTTCCTGTTGGGCCCAGTTGTGACAAATCTCACCCCAAGCATTCTTCCTCATCTATCGCTATGGGGAGGAATTTTCAACATGACTGGCTTCGCCGTATGGATGGCAGTCTTTCTCGCCATGGCCCCTCGCAACAGTACCGAGTTTGTCTTCACCAAATTCATCAATGAGAGCGGCTGGTCATCATCTGGATGGCTCTTCTTCATGGCGATGTATGTGCCGATGTACGGCCTCTATGGTACTGATAGCACAACGCATCTTGTGGAGGAGATGAAGAATCCTGCCAAAGACGGACCGGTGAGTGGAATGTATTCTGCCGTGAATCGCGCTGATTTTGGTACAGAGAGTCATGATCTGGTCGATGGTCATCAGTACTGTCATCTCCTTTACAAGTGCCATTGTTATGGGTTTCACTACAGGCAACTGGCAGAGCGAGATGCAGACAACCCTGCCATACTTCACCTGGTTCGTCGACACCACCGAATCCGTGATCGGAGGTGGAACATTCTGCTCGATCGTCAATATGGGCCTCAATGTGAGTGAGCGTTGTGTCAATGACAACATGCAACTTGCTAAAAGTATCATGCAGTATCTCATCATCGTCCATACGAACACAGCTGGCTCTAGACTGGCTTGGCGTATGGCAAAGGACAATGGCCTCCCATTCCCGAGATATTTCTCGCATGTCTCAAAAAGGTTTGGCACGCCTCTGCGGGCGATGTTTGCAGTACTGTTCTTGAATGTTGTAGCAGGCAGGTCACCTTCTTTGATTGTGCTTACATCAATACTGACGAGCTCAGGCTGTCTCATACTGTTCAGCGATCTTGCATTCTGGGCGCTCATCTCTGGTGGCAGTCTCACTTTGCAGATAGCATACGCTGTGCCCGTCATCTGTGTAAGTGTCGATGATTGAAAGTGAGTTGCTCAGATGGCTGATCGTCTTTGCAGGTGTTGTGTCGCGGGCGAAAGATACTTCCTCCGCGGCCCTGGTTCGATCTAGGCCAATGCGGGCTTCTGATTAACTACATCGTAAAGCCACCATATTGAAGTCTTAGATCACCGCTGATGTTGTTTTAGTCCGCAGCCTGGGCCTGCACAACCATGCTGTTGTTCCTGTTCCCTCAATATGTACCAGTGGTGGGAAATATTGAGAACATGAATTGGGCTCCTGCTATCTTCGGAATCTGTGTGCTCGTATGTGGTCTGTATTGGATCGCATCAGGACGGAAGAAGTATATGATGACTTGCGGAGATAACGACAGCTAATGAAAGCGGAAACTTGCCCTCAAACAGGAATGAGCTACGAAACTTTTTCGTGTCAGTGCCTCACTGCCCTAAGTTGACCAACGGGCCCGAAATACGGTCCACCAATACCATCCTTTTGGCTAAATCATGCCCTTCCATCCCTAGGGCATTCGTAGGGCATACCTGTGACATTTCTTGGTCTGGAATACTGGCGGACCAATGATTGTTGCTGCTCTCCGACCATGGCACCGACGCGCACTTTCGCCATCATTCTCGAGACAGACAGCGGCCCCGGTCGCCCGACTTTGACTCTAGGGAGACGATCAAGCCCCGGGATCCTTCTGAGGTCCGTCACTAATACCACTTTGATTGTTTCAGTCACCCAAGCTCAACGTACTTGTCCATCATGATCGACGCCATCACCTGCAGAACGAGAGCACCGTAACAACAGTGATACTTCATGGCCAGAGGCAGCGCCATCACCACACTTTTGGGAATCATGAATGTCTCGGATTGACAGCAGGGTGGAGACCCGGATGGACCATAAGGACGTACAAGAATCAGTCCCAGAGGCCGGGAGAAACATGCGGTCGCCTTCTCATCATCGACCGACACTCCACCCGTTTCTTCAATGTCGCCGCAGCATGATAAGGATGCGGTGTAGTGAGCGTCCGATGACATCGACATAAGCCAGCGGGAAATTTGATACTGCTCAACGCATGGGCATAGCGACGTACGACCGCGACCATAAGCGTGCGAAGTGTGTGCACAACTACTTCGCTGAGCGCGCTATAGGGGAAGACTCAATAGTGCTTACTGACCTGTAAGGCAATTGCGTGCGATCGTCTATCATCATCTCGGAGCTTCTCGCCAGAAATCTAGCAGATCCGCTAGTATGGTGTCGCGGCAAGTTTTTGCGAGGGCCCTCGAAGGGTACAGTCTACAATATGCTGTGCAGACCTACTATTGATGCTGCGTGCGAACTTCCTAACTTTACCAACATTCATTGAATCGCCTTTCAAAACTTACTGCAATTGCCACCATGAAGTTTACCATCATTCTTGCCCTCCTCGCATCAATCGTCCACGCCCAAGTGGAGGAAAGATATGCGATCGGTTGCGCAAGCGGTTGCAACGAGGAAAGCTGCCATAGGTGTTGGCAGGGAATCTGGTTCTCAACGGGCGTATGCTGCACATCAATCAATGATGAAGGCAAATGTGTTCGAGGCTGCCCATAGAAGAATAGGAGAAAGCACCCAAGGTAGGCTATAGTTCGCTTTGCTCTTGGAATGACCTCGAAGCTAATCGCACGCGCAGAGGACTAGCAACGGCCGCTCACTCCTCGACGTCCAATGCACAAATGAGGCACACCATCGATCCGGGGGCGTTGTGATGTGAACGGACAGCCTGTTATTTGGGTCCCAGCAAAAGGGTCATATCCCCTGAATAATAGGAGCTGAGGCCAGGACCAAGATACAGTAGGCATACAGAAGCATAAGAAAGCTCAAGGCATGTTCAACAAAAGGACAATGATTTTATTTTTGGCTCCACGACTTCCTGCTGCAGCCATATTGGGCTATCTGGAAGGAGGCAGTAGGGATCCCCGAGTAGGAATCAAAGCTTCGCATGCGCATTGATAGTCATTGTTGCTTCAGATAGCATGGAAGTATGCAGAGCTTATCGGGCAATGCATCGGATGTTCACCTCTCTTCCTTGGTATGCGTAAAATCTTGCATCTTGCCCTGACGATGGGCCAGGGTGGGAAGCTCTAGGTCCTGAATGAACCAGGAGCTGATCATCGTGTATCACGGAAGTATAAGCGCTGTACAGCACGTATCAAGCAATTGCTGGTGAGCCGACCTGAATTCAATTCGAGATCAGAGCCAACGACTCCGAGTGGACTTGGAGAACGTGCTCAAGAGCGGGTATGTTTCTCACCTGCTGATCACATATCGACTACCGGTCTGCCTACCTCGTTCAACATCAACACCCCTCGTCTCCTTAATCGACTCTCGAGCTCTTTCTGCACAATTGGAATGCCACCCAATGAGAGATAATGAAACGACGCAAAAGCGATCGATGCAGCATTTCCGTACATACATAGCTTGTGCATTATGCAGCGAACATCTTTGTGTGGACTCCAGCTTCTTTTCTTCCCTATACGTCCTTGCGGACATCGTTGTCAATAACAGACAAGTTGTACATGCTGCTCGAGCCGTCTCCTCTTCGGCTCTGGAGCAAGCTGGAAGCCCAAATTGTGTGCACATCCAGGCTTGGTATTTCACAATGCCTTCGCATGCAATGAGGCGGACTTATGCAAGGGCGACGTCGAGCATACTGACAAGTACTGTAGAGCTCCACAATCACAAGCGTGGCTTCCTTCACGGAACGGAGCTAACGACTGATCATTACCCACTACGTATAGCACCTCGCATCCAGCCGTGCCAGCTTTGGCAAGCAGTGGGGCGTGTAACCTACCGAGCTATTTAGCGCATCCTTCGCAGCTTGCCATCATAAACGACATGTCGACTTGCAGTCTCGAGCATACCTTTGTCTGCTCACTCCAACGCCGAAGTGCCATCAAACATGGCCACATATACTTCCCAGCAAGACTTTAAGTCCGCATATGACACTCTCAATGCCACTTATGCCACCCACAAGACCAAAGACATCCGGTGGCGAAAATGGCAGCTGAAGCAGCTCTGGTGGTTGATCGAAGAAAACACAGACGCCATTGTCAAAGCCTTCGCAGCAGATCTCAACCGCACTGAAGCCGAATGCCGCATGTACGATGTCGGCGGCGTCAAGAAAGACATCAAAGAAGCTCTCGACAACATCGATACCTGGGCCAAAGGCCAACCCGTGGAAGGGGCTGGTATCCTGATGGGAAGATTCGGCGGAGCCTACTTGAGGAAAGAACCTCTTGGAGTCTGCCTCATAATCGGAGCCTGGAATTTTCCTCTTGTCACACTTCTCGGTCCCGTCGTCCCAGCCATCGCAGCAGGAAACTGCGTCATGATGAAACCTTCCGAATTAGCAGGAGCAGTCTCCTCACTCCTCGCCGAGCTCGTATCCAAGTATATGGACCCCTCCGCCATCCGCGTCGCAACAGGCGGAGCAAAGGAAACAGGTTTCATGCTCGAACATAAATGGAACCATATCTTCTACACCGGCGGCGCCAAAGTCGGTCGAATCATCGCTTCCGCAGCAGCGAAACATTTGACGCCGACAGTCCTTGAACTCGGTGGACAAGCGCCCGCTATCGTGACCAAGAGCGCGAACATCGACCTCGCAGCAAAACGTATCGCGAATTTCAAACTCACCAATGCTGGACAGATCTGTCTCAACGTTAACCACGTTTTCGTTGATCCCTCAATCCACGACGAATTCGTCTCTCGGTTGCAATCCTGGTTCAAAGAGATGCTTAAAGATGATTCCTGGCTTGCACATATCATTTCGGATAATCATTATACTCGCGTCACAGACCTCTTGAGCCGTACGAATGGCAAGATTGCTTACGGAGGCGAACACGTTGCTTCCACGAAATTCGCTCACCCGGCTATCATCACGGATGTCACGACTGAGGATTCCTTGATGTCGGAAGAACTCTTCGCGCCTTTTGTTCCCGTCCTCAAGGCCACGACTGAAGAAGCTGTTGCGACAATCGGTACAATGCCGCATCCTTTGGGATTGTACATTTTCTCCACAAAGCAGCAGGAGATTGATCATGTGCTTGATCGCACGACGAGTGGTGGTGTGACGATCAATGATGTCGCTGTCCATGCCGGTGTCCCTGGGGCGCCATTTGGTGGTGTTGGCGAGAGCGGGACTGGTGCTTATCACGGCAAAGCAGGATTCGATGCCTTCAGCCATTCGAGGACAGTAGTCGGGCTGCCAAATTGGATGGATGCGGGTTGGAGGTATAATCCGCCGAAGTTGGAGAATGTGGCCAAGTGGGATACTGCGAAGGCGACGTGGAAGAAAGGTGAGAAGTTGGAGGATCAGTCGACTGGTGGGAGTTGGTTGGGCTTGTGGTGAGATTGAATTTTGAAGACATCTGTAATGAACCTCAGAAGGCGCGACGGTTCAACGGGGAAATGATACTTCGTACACCATCATCCTACATCAGACTCGTCCGTCCCCCGATCTCCGTCCCACCCTGCCCATCCTGCATATCTCCGTTCCTCCCAACCACGAACTCACGATATATTCTTTCCAATCGCAACCTCTCCTGTCGACTAATACTCGACCTCGTCTCTTGTAGACTCTTCTCCAGATGTTTCCACGTGATGATAGGCTCGTCGTTTGCTTTGTCACCATTTGTCTGATGACTAGAGGAAACGTTCTGGCTCAAAGCCGAACCTGGTCGTTGATTGGAAAGGGCGGAAGAGCTGCGATGATGGCTCAGTGCACTGCTTGGTCTGGCAGGGACAAAGGAGCGTGCGGCGCTACGTTCCGCTTTGGCCTTCTTGCGAGCGAGTTGGAGGGCTTTGAGCTTTTCTGCGATATTTGCTCGTTCGGCTGTTTGTTGGGCGAGAGCGGCGGGGGAATTATCTTGTGAGACGTTCACTTGCCCAAGTTTGAAGTAGCTAAAGTCGTGGCTCTTGCCTCCAGATCTTCGGTTACTCTTCTTCTCGGATTCAAGGGTGGCGTTCTCGGTGGACGGGCCTAGGACGTCGTGAATAGCTTCCAGATGAGCGTTGTACATGACGGCTTGCAGATCAGCGCCAGAGTAGCCATCGGTGCGACGTGCTACTTCGTGCATGGACTCTGGTCCAGTGTTATCTTCGCTCGTGAGATCCGGGAGGAGATGCAGCTTGTCACTTGTCGCTCGCAAGATATCGAGTCGGTCTTCTTCGTTCGGCATATCGCAGATCAGCGACTTGTCCAGACGACCAGGTCGGAGCAGAGCTGGATCGATCAGGTCTGGCCGAGATGTTGCAGCCAGAACGTAGACTCCAGACAAGCCCTCTGCACCGTCCATCATCGTAAGCAGCATATTCACGACACGATCTGTGACGCCAGTGCTGTCGTGACCACGTTTGGGGGCGATGGCATCGAACTCATCGAAGAACAAGACACACGGCTTTGCAGCTTCTGCGCGTTCAAACAAGTCTCGGACGCTCTTCTCTGAAGCACCAATGTACTTGTTGAGGATTTCAGGCCCCTTCACTGAGATGAAGTTGAGTCCGCATTCACCTGCCACTGCAGATGCCAGCAGGGTCTTGCCGCAACCCGGATATCCATAGAGCAGGAGACCAGATCGCAGACGAAGAGGACACTTCGCGAAGAGAGGAGCGTATGTGGTTGGGTACTGCAGTGTCTCCAGCAAAGTCTGTCGCGTTTCCTTCAATCCTCCGATGCTGGAAAATGTGGTTGTCGAAGAGTGCAAAGTGACTCCACGCAGTGACGCTGGTGTGAAGCCCTTCAGCGCAGCAGTAAAGTCGACATCAGTCAGAAGTACCTCGTCAGAGATCACCTCTTCGTTGACTGCACGCATAAGTGCCTCACTACGGGCACGTGAGACCAGAACAGCCAGATCACCAGGCATATATCCATCGGTCTGGCCAGCAACCTCCAGGAGATCCAGGTCCGGATTGTCTTCCTCAGGAGCTTCCTTTGGTCCATGAGCAGAAGTCGGTCTCGACTGCTCGCCGTCGGAGTCTTCCATCCAAGCATTGAGTTGTCCACCATTCTTCACAACAGTCTCGGCGCCGTCGCGACTACCAGCTTTATTTGCCTGCTTGACGAGCAGATCCAGAACCTTGCGTCGACCATCCTTGCTAGGTGCTTTGAGCGCCACAATATCGCGAACGACATGCCCGCCAATTACGATGTTGTTCACAGCCTCTTTGCTTTGCGCCGTAGCGAGCATGACCACACCTGAGTCCCTTGTGCACCACTCTCGTACTATTGAGCAGAGTAGCTCGCTGACCTGTTTGCTGAAGATGTTGCTCTGCTGTTCAAGCTCGGTCTCTACAGCGCACATCTTGTCGAGGTCGTCCAGAATGACCAATGCTCTGCCGCCTATACGGGCTCCCCAGGAAGCAGATGCAAAGACGCGGTTAAGGTGGTCTTTGGCAGTCTTCACTCGCGTGTCGTCATTGATCATGGTCCGACAGGGGAAGTAGATGACGTTGAAGAGATATTCGTTGCGGAGTTGATGCGCCAGAAGCTGGACAAGAGACGTCTTTCCGGACCCGAGACCTCCGGTCAGCAGTACGGAAGAAGTATGCAATAGACTCTTGCGAGTCTGTTCAATCACACTGTCGATACCGACCAATGTCGGAATGGTCGTTGGTAACTTTTCTCCAGGTGGCCACTGCGATCCTTTCTGGTTCGAGGTCTGTTGTTGTACTGAAAGATCAAGCTTTCGCTCTGCTCCAAGGAACCAATTTGTCTTTGGCTTCGAGGGATCACCAGGAGGTGCGGGCTCAAAGTCCAGAATGCCACCTGGCCAGCTGTCTGAAGCCGGAAGGTACATGCCATCAGTCAAAGGGCCCTCGAGGATTTTGTTTGCCGAGAGTGCTTTGAAGACTTGCTGCGCGGTGTTCTCCTTCTCCGACTTTGACTCGCCGCCGAATTTAATGCCTGCAGCTTTCTTTTCAGATGCAGTCTGCAAGAAGGGTGTGAGTCTCAGCTTCTTGACAATCGCCTCTTTGCTCGCCTGTGCTGACGGATCTTTGAGCGCTGAGGCAGTCCTTGGAAGTGGCGCAGGAGCAGGATCGATGCGGACGATACCACCAACGATGTCTTCAGCGTCCAGCACTGCGCACAATAGCGAAGATAGTGCAACATGCCTGCTATCTGGCGCATCATCCCACGCCGACAGTCTCGCAACCACCTTCTGAGCAGGCTTCTGATCTGGAGTAGGTCCACTTTGCGGGTCAACCGGCTGCTGCAATCCGGCGGGTTTGATCACAGAGACCGCCACCCAAGTCACGCCTCTCAGTGTCTTGGAAAGCAAATGCTCTCGATCGAGCCAGATCCGCAGGCCTTCATCTTTCATATCATCACCTCCGTCCTCGAACCACTCGTTCTTGAGTGCTCGTGTCACACCTCGCAAAAAGATCGGCGGGCGAGTCTTCTCGATCTCACGTTCGCTCTTATGGCGCACCTGGCTCCCTGAACTTCTCCCACCAGCACTGCGTCTTCCGGCGCTGGTAGTGCTTCGATTGTCTTTGGAAGAGCTCTGCTTTTGTGACTGGCGTGTCTTCGGTGCAACGATAACCTCGGCATCTGGGGATATTTTGACAAAAGGCTGAGTGCTCGCTGGTGGGGGCGTGAGAGATGTAACTGTTATGTTTGCGGTGGAAGTCGGCGTGAGGTGGAGTGTGAGAGGATGTGTGTGACCGGCTGCTGGATTAGGAAGGGCTCGGACCTGGGAGAGGAAGTTCATCTCCAGGAAGGATGAGTGAAGCTCAATGACTGCGCAACGTTGTAAGCATAACCAGATCTCGATTTCAGCAATATGTGATACTGACTCTCCCAATCAGTCGCCGTCAAAGGCTCAATGTTGACTGTATGAGCTTGCGGCGGGTCTATGTGCAACAAGACATTTGCCTACCGTCCTTATCAGTCTGTGTAGAATGCAGAGCTCATTGTGTATTCGCTGCCCACCTTCATGCCTCCACTGAGACCTAATCGCCTGGCGAAGGTAGCATCTATTTCCACTGTAGCCACATCCTTCTCTTGAGGGCCTCTGACACCTTCTCTTCCAATCACTGAAGAAGGCCTTGACTGCGATTGCATGCCCGTCCAGCCCACAAACACCGACTGTGTCGTCGTAGGCTTCGTCTTGCCATCCGCTCCAACCGGCTGCGCCTGGCGATACTGCAACTCGACCACCACATTCTGGGCCACCGTATTCGCGTTCAGCAGCAGCGAGACCAGTGACGGCGGCAAATTGACCAGACAGCTCTTCAAGCTCGGCAACACCGCCAGCTCGACCGTCGTGCCCGAACTTCCTCCTCCTCCTCCACCGCTGCCGCTGCTGGCGGGTCTTCTCCCGGCGACCGACATGTTGTGCACGATCTCGTCTATGGGGCGGGCGGTGCTAGGGAGCAGGGGCCATTGGCGAGGTGGTGAGCGGACGCGTCGAGGACGATCATCACTCATGCAACAAAGAAGTGCAGCACAGACGAGAGCACATCCGCTGCATATGCAGGTCCCGCCGGGGAGACTTGCGCTGCTGTGCACGATGAAGCTTGAGCTCCACTCGGGAAATTTAGCCTCGGCTCAGACTTGACGTTCGGCTGTGTCAATATTTGACGGGATTTCGATGATTGACATGAATTGCTCACAAACATCACCACAGCACGGCGCCTAGCCATTCATTCCCAATCAACAACACCACGGGCTTGCATCAATCCCAGTTTCAACATCCCGCAGATGAGTCGGCTATACTCTTCCCAAGCAGTCGGCGTGATGGGAGCGCTACCTGTGCTTCCAAACGAAACGTCCAGGCAGCGGACTCGCCCGGGAGGCAGTCCGACCTCAACTCTGGACAACAGATCTTCTGGGGAGTAACAAGCCGCCAATGAGACCGTGAAGTCACTGGGTTTTCCGGCAATGGCCACAGAGACCTCAATTACCGATTCAGCAAGCCAGCGCTCGATCCACTCGATTTGCTGTGGCTCGTCAACGCCTGTGTCACATGGCTGGACTGCGGGAGCGGACTGCTAATGGACGACCTCTTCGTGCTGCGGTCTGGGACGGATGGCGATCGTGCTGCCATCCTGGTTTGCAAAACTTTCGTATGCGCTTCGAGCGAATCTCTTCAACTTAAGCGTCATGATGCACAACACGATCCAGGCGTGAAATAACGGCCGCAATCTGGAGACTGTCAGCTCGAACTCGAACAAGGCATTATAAACTCACAGCTCGCGATGCTCGGGTACATCGTAGTGCAGATCTTGCGGGTACTCGACACGACTCTCTTCGGATGCGCTCACCAACCACAGGAGGCGGCCCTTTGTTTCCGGCCAGATGCGTGATCACAACTCGTGGAAAATTTCATCAATCTTATTCCTGACCGCAGCCGATTCTCGCAATTCGGCAGTGGCCATACTGTTGAAGAGTCCATCCAGCATCATGATGCGGTCGCGCAGCGCAAGCATTGGCGTCTCGCAATACTTGTCGTGAGCATCGATTGCATTCCTGAAGCCCAGAACCGCCCTACATTGCCGATACTGAGTTTCCGCTGACCACTGTTCTGCTCAGTGAAACAAAACTCCGGAAGATCCCATGTGGACGCCATGTTGAAGCCTTCACTGTATGAAGCATTGCGAACGACCTAAAACGAGGTTCTGAGCCATATTTTTCAGCCACGGTCAGGCACCCTTCCCTCGCCATCGGCATCTTCGTGCGAGAATTACGTTGCTGCGATGTTGGAACGGAGATCCTGGCTGCTCATGGAAACTCTTTTTCATTTCGGAAAGCAACAGCAGTTAGGGCTCAGATCCATGTACGAACCATATGCGACCCTGCTTCTGTCAAAGTAAGCAGCAGTGGTATGCGATCTGCGAGTACCGAATTTTCGAGTAATTCGTGCTTGTGCTGTAAGCCGAAGGATTCACCAGAAAATACTGGATCGGCGCGTTCGATGCAGACCAGAGGATTCCTGGATAGTCATGATAGCCGGAAGCGTTGAGGGTGTTTAATGGCGAGAAGACTTCGTCGAGATTATAACAAATGTCGCCGAGCGGGATGCTGCCGGTATGAAACGTGAGAGAAGCTGGGTCTTCGGCATTGGGACATTCAGCGCCATCGTCTGGCCCGAATGAGACTGTGAGGTTTTGTCCGCGACTGATGTTGGATGGCGCTTGTTAGTGGATTGAGGTATGTGTACCTTGATGGAATGAGCTTACAGCTGACCGTTTTGAGCGTGGCAGGTCAGTAGCAGGCTGAAGATCCAGAAGAGTGACGGTAATGCCATATTCGATGGAGCCTCGCAACGAATCGAAGGTTAACTCTGCAACTGCAAGATGTGGGCTTGCTCAAAGGTTGTTATATACGGGACCGAGGCACGATACGACAGAATGAGTTCGCCAATGCTAAGCTAGAGACGCCCTTGGCGACGAAGGATCATTCACTGCACTCGTGACCAGATTTGTGGAAGACAGCATCGACGTTATCCAGAAGCGCCAACATCGAAGAATGCGGAAGAAAACAGCTCAAAACTAATCAGCCCTTGCGAGGAGACACGACGATGTTTGAGCCAAGCTTCAGGATTGTCTCCGAATGTGCATGCAAAAGTCCACTTCGAGCTCACCACGAGACTCCCTCATATCTCAACACTTTTTGCCAAAGCGACGATGTGTTCAGAAACAACTTGTCCGGGTCAATGCTCTCGATGCCGCAAGAGTCAACTTCAGGCCTTACTTTGTCAAACGAACCACTCAACGCGCCTTTCCAGCTCCTGGCCCTTCCAAGTACTTGCTTCTGCCCCTATTTCGGCATACGCCTTCCGATTTGCAAGTCGGCCATGAGAAGATGTCCGCGAAGCGCCGACAGAACGGGACGAGGGGTACGAACATACATTGGCGTCTGTGTGGGTAGGATTCTGAAGGAATGCAGCATCATTGTGCGGCGAAGAGCCATGACGTCAGAAGCCTGAAGCGGCGAAGCGATATTTTGCCCGTTAAAGGCCAGAGCTGAAGATGTCAACAGTCTCATCCTGGCCCTCAAATCCGAAGAAGAGCGACTCACCAGACAACTTCTCTCACTGTGCAAGTTCGGCTGATACTCCAACTTGCGATCATCACAGGTCTCCATCACGATGGTTGAGTATCTGAATACATCCGAAATCCATTTCAATCACGATGTCGCAGACAGGAACTCATTGGACGAGGCATCGGAAGAAGGGAGCGACGACAGCACCGAGGAGTACTCTCCATATTCCGTCGAAGATCTTGCGGCTATTTTGACAGACTTCTACAAGTTTCTCGCGAACTTACACTACGATCCTGCGGACCTGAAACTCCCTCCGCCCGAACGCTGGAATCTCGATATTCTTCCTAAGGCTATTGTTGAGAACAAATCTGAGGATGTGGTCGAGTTGATGAGGCGGGTTCCTTACTTCAAGGAGAACGAGAAGTCTACGCATGTGCATTACAAGTCGAAATTGGTTGATTATACCAATGGGGAGCAACATGGCATAGCTGAGAATGAGGATGAGCTCGTGAAAGACTTGTGCGAGGTCTGGTGCTCTAAAGGTGGCATCGTGGACCACCAGCGTCTATTGGTCATCGCAGGTGGCTACGAAAGTGGTGGTCGAACCTTGATCCTTGATGTCCTGCACGGCGAGATCACCGAGGAGATCATTCGTCACATCACTTGTCCTGCTGTCGATATCAAGGAGTTCTTCGAAAAAGTGGAGGAGGAGTATCGATCCCTCCAGCTCATCCCCTGCCCCGGAAGAGAAACGCAGGAAGCTCATAGGGTGCCTGAACGGGCTGAGGAGATCTCCGAGGAGGAAGTCAAGGCGCAGACCGGTGAGTGGTTTGGGTTCACTGATCTAGATTGGCAGTTTGTCAGACAGGTCTACCGGCGATGCGGATGGCCAGATGCTTTTCGACGTCAGCAGGCTGTGGAACTCATCGGAGACTTCATGGCGAGCAACAAGGATCGAACACATGAATGGGAGCCAGCGTTTCGTTGACACGAGGAAGAACACGGCTCGTTCTCGATTTTGCTCGTGGCTTGCGCTACGAAATCGGCGAACCGCGCGCTGCCGTACAGACGTGAACGTCCGGCTTTCCGCTCCTCGAAGACTTCGTCGTTCACTCTTATTCAACATGACCCATCGATTGCGGCTACTGAGTCGCATCATAGATTTGGCTTCGTCTTTCTCATTGACTTCAGAATCACAACACGCGAAACCCTGGACCAATGGCAAGTCAACAGTCGCCCATGACTTACGATGATGGATCAGGTCCCAGGACGTTACCTTACAGCATGGCTTTCGCGTTGTAGAATGAGACCACAAACCCCGAGCAGAAGGCCTGGCCATCATGATGGCGAGGACGTTGGTCTGTTGACGTCGGGCCGCCAAGCACTCTCTGCACTTTGCTGTTGCAGTAAAGGACGCACGAAGGCATGCTCTCAAGATAAGAGACGACTGCGGAAGCTGTGTCGATATCTGATTCAATGTTGCAGAAACTGGACGACAGGAAGAGGCACGGGTTTCAGGTTGAGTGCAGAGAAGAGTTTGGGGCTTAGTTGCGTCTTGGCAAGGCAGTGCACTTAAGCGCCCACGCCACGTTCTTCGTTTGTCCCGATAAGATGACTCTTCCCCACAATTCGTTCAACAGTGGCAGAATAGCCATCGAAGAGGTGAAACATGAACAAATCGACAAATCGATTGGCCTAGGAAGAGACCGAGAAGAGCACTGCCACTGCGACAACATCTGCTTCGGAAGCTGTTGCCTGGGACTTCAGAGGCCATAGAAGCCATTCCTACAGCCTAGAGGTGGGCGAGGTGATTTATCTGCACTGCGCCTGCCAACAAGGTCTTCCCTTTCAAAGCACAAGGAAACCACCAAGCTTTGAGGTATCTCTTCTTTCGTCATGCCCACGCTCCTTGACTGCCCTTCCGAGATCCTCGACGTTATCGTCGAAGGACTCGTGGTCATCATTGGAATTCAAAATGCTGTGTGCTTGCAAACGGTATGTCGAGCATTCGACTCGTCCATTCTGCACGCCATCTGCGTAAGGCAAGTGGTCAGCATATACGATACCGCTACACCACATCTGGAAAATCGCATGAATCCCAAACTTCGAGGCAAGATCTACCTTCGGCAATCACAAACCCTGACAAAAACTGGTGTCATCTCAGACATCAACTCAAAATTGGACGACTTACTGGACGATGTTGACGCAGATCGTCGCGGCAGTCGGCATGAAGCAGTCGCCTGTGCTGTCCAATTGAAGCATAATGTAGAAAAAGGCGAGAATGTCGAGGCTCAGAACCTGCTGAGTGGTGCCATCATTTCTGGCGAGATCGAGCTCACGCGACTGTTGCTGGAAGGTCGCAGCAAAATGCCATTCAAAGCGGAGGTCGATGGTGTCACGCCCTATTTCCAACGTCCAGTTCACCTCGCGGCGGCTGGTGGACATTTTGAAATTCTTAAACTGCTACTTGCATACGGAGCTCAAGCTTACAATCCATCGGCCACTACACTGGAGTGGGATCAAAAATCTAGATATCCACTCCGATTATTCGGCGTACCTCCTACCCCTTTGCGGCTGGCAATCTGTCATGGACATACAGAGATTGTTCACCTTCTTCTCCGATCCCAAAATCGACCACCAGACACGAGCATAGAGTACTCGAGATGCATACTAGCAGCAGGCGAAGCTGGGCGTATCGATCTTATCGATGAACTGTGCAAGGTCATGGGACGTCACTGGACAGAATTCAATGGTCTGGGCAGGGAGTTGATGATGGTTGCAGTGCAGCACAACAGGAAAGAGGTCGTCTCTATGATTCTTGACTCTGGCATTCCGACCAATCTGGCTATTCACCGTGCTCGCGGTGACTGCCCCAGTATCCTGTATTTGGCGGCATATCGAGGTCATACTGCGCTCGTCGAGCTCTTGATGAGTCGCGGCGCGAGCCTGACTTTCAACCCGAAAGGGTCTACGCGAGACTGTCTCCCAATTGAGGGTGCCGCAGAAGGTGGGCACCAAGAGTTGGTCGAGATGCTCATCGATAAAGGCGCCGATCCTGCGCCCTCATTGAGGTCTGCTGCCAAAGGTGGACATGCTGGCCTTGTCGCATACCTACTGGACAGATTTCCTAATGTGCTCAATAGAGACGGTGGCGACCATGGTCGGCAAGCAATGCACATGGCGCTGCAGTTCGGCAATTTGACCATCATCAAGCTTTTGGTTGAGGCAGGAGTGCAATTGGACGATGGAGCTCTTTACTTCCATCGTCGGCCCTGGCCTTTGTTTCTAGCAACTCACCTAATGAAGCTTGGCGCACATGATTTGGGTTCCCTGCAATACAAGGAATGGAACACGCATTATAGCAGGGGAATATTCATCTCTGAGCGCACCTGGCAATGGATCTGACAGTTCGAGCGACCATGACTGTCACAACAAGTCTTGGAAGCATGGAAACCCAATACACAGATATCCCGTGGCGCCACCACTCGCAGACATGGCTAGCCTTCAATGCACGAGCGATAAGTACAAGCCTGCGCTGTCATCAAATCCCGCAGCTCCAAACCTGTGCGAAGCTTGGTGAAACATGGCATGGTAAGTCTCTAAGCTGTGCCGCATAGTGCGCTCCTGCTAAGCGCCCGCGCTGCATAGCCGCCAAGAGCATGGCGCATGGATCCAACCTGAAACCCGCGCCTCTTCCTTACATCTTCGGCACTGGATAACGTGGGAACGAACCTTTTGAACACAGCACTATCTTGGGGCGAGAGCTTTCGTGCTGCGCTAGTGAAGCGGCACAGTCGAGGCAGTGCTCAGAACGATATGGATGCCGCATGTCTGCTGGCCGAAACAGCACCGAACAGAAAGTGGCAGAACAGACACGCACTGCCGATTGAGATCTAGTCCACCTTTTTTCGGTCCACTTTGGCCACCACGAAAGATCGACCTGTAGCAAGTCTGTCTTCCAAAGAACACAAAGCGCCAGGAATATCAGCAGAGAGCTATCGACTCGATTTGCCGCGTCCTAGCAACTAAATTGAAATCCACTGTCAAAACATGAAGCTGCTCTCAACGACGAGAATTTCACTTCTGCTCGCATTCTTTGTCAGCCTGCCGCAACCAAGCTTGAGTCGCGCCATCCTTTCGACTTCTGTCGCTCTTAAAAACGATGGCTCCTTGTACGAGCAGTATTCGCCAGAGAGAGTTTCGCAAAGATCTGCCATCAAGATTCTCTTGACCTCGACCGATGTGGAGCCAACTCCACTCGTGCATCGAGCTCTACCACGACCTGGTGGAAGGCCACCAGCATCACTTGAGCCTCCGCATCCTCCTCCAATGCCAGCAAGACCTCCGCCTGGAACCCCTCCAAGACCTTCTGCAGGAGTCACGAACAGACCTCCAGGTGTTGCTGGCCCTGCTGATGAGCCTGGAGCTGCTGCACCACCTCCTGCTATAGACCAAACAGTGCCGGACACCCCGGAACCACCCAAGAGCACTAGTAGTCCATTAGACTGGGGGAACATTGTGTCTACGGGAGCTGGTGTCGGCGGAAACAATGACCCAAAGGACGATGATACGGACTCTGCCTGTACCAAACAGCCATCGACGACAGAATCGCAGGCACCATTCTTGTCCAAGTTGTGGCAGTTCTTTCAGCACATCAGGATTGCGACGTTTCTCTGGAGTTCAGATGAGATGACGCCCCAGCCAACACAAGTACCGAACAGGAACTGCACGTTTTGACAGTGGAGAACCTCGGAGCGATTCAAGTCATTAGGATGTCGGTTGCAGCCTCAGTGAAGCGCAGCGTGGATGTATGGAACGAGACACAGTGAACGGTGGCGAGCTCGTGTCTTGTAAAGAGTCTACAGCAAATCTGTTGCCAGAATAGATAATGGGCAAGCGCAGTGCGCGCCCCGTCTTTCCCCATCTGAAATGCAGACATTACGCTGGGCTCCTCCCATCCCGGTATGCGTATCACACACCGCTTCACGCCACGACACTTCGGGACCTTTCTTTCTGTCCGCTACGCTCAGTCAAAGTCTGAGTCTTCTTGAACTTCCAAGCTGGAACCTTGCGTTCGTACAGCTCGTCCAACTCCCAATATGTTCGTCCTTGGGTCTGCACAAATCGTTAGCACAAGCATACGAGCGATGAAAGAGCATGCAGATGCATACCTCTGGATAGTACATCCACAGCAAAAGCGTTGTCGGGACCAGCAGACCTGCCCAAACGTAGATCGCTTTCACTCCGAGATTGGCATAATCGGGGCTGATCATATACGAAATCGTCCATTGAAACACGACGCTTGTGGACGCGTCAGCTATCATCATAGTAATCAACGGTGAAGTGAACTCACAAGCCAGCACCGTAGCAGCCCAAGTTGAATGAAGTGGTCTGCGCCCGCAGACGCGGAGTGGAAGTTTCGCCAGATGCCACGAAGCCGATGGGACCTGCAGACGCGCCATAGCACAGGACCCAAATCAGCAGGCATGCGAGGCCAGCTTTCTTCGCGCCTCCGGATGGGAAGAATCCTGTTGTAGCCAGGCCGACGTTGAACAAGCACATCAAGAAGCAGCCACCAACGAGAAGAGGCCGACGACCGATGTACTCGCAGGCGATCAGTGAGCAAAAGATCGATACGATGAGAAGGACGAAGGTGATGATGGTGACCATAAACGGGTCTTCCATACCAGCAACCTTGAAGAAGTACTAGACACCACAAGTCAGCATCGGGTACATGTTTGAGTGACAATGCCTAGACTTACGGTGGAATAGCTGAAGACAATGGGAGCACCGGCTGACCACTGACTGCAGATGCCAACAGCTCCAGCTAGTGTTCGGCGCCAGTTTGTGCCCTGGAAGATCTCCAGGAAGGAAGCATGTTTAGAAGCATTGCTGAACTCTTTCTCGGCCTCAATGCCGTGCTCAATGACACGATATTCGTGTTCGACATCGTATCCTGGGGCGTTGCCATAAAGCTGGAGCATGGACCGTTTCGCAAGCTCCATGTTGCCTTTGCGTGCATAGTAGATGTGGGACTCCGGAACCCACCAGATCATCAGGATGAGTATCTAGCAGTGTCTTGTCAGTATAGTCATCGTGGTCGCGACAAATCGATGCAACTTACACCAGTGAAGATGAATTCGGTAGCAACCAATGGTCTCCATTCGTTTGGCCGGTGAACCTGAACCAATTGCGAAGCAATAGCACAGATAAGCTGACCAAAAGCGAGCATAAGCTGGTAAGCTCCGATCATGAAGCCACGAATCTGGAAAGGAGCCAATTCGGAGATATAGGTGATCAAGATGGACTGGGCCAGACCAACACCAAGACGGACCAAAACAGCAGCGCCCAACCAGTGTCTCCAGTTCGAAGATGCAATCTCAGCCACTGATCCGGCGAGGAGTATCGCGATAGCACCCATCATTGCTTTCCTGGTAGCTGTCAACATCGAGATGATTGAGTTGACAGACAAAGTATGCATACTTGCGGCCGAACTTGTCCGCGAAATATCCACCGGCAAACATTCCCGCCATCTTTGACATCTCTGCAAAGCCTTGCCAGAAGGATACAATCCGGCCGCTGACTGCCGGCTCGCCGTCGATCACCGTGTCTGCCATTTGATTGACAAAGGCTGGCAGTGGAATGATGTTGCCGGGAACCTGTTGTTGGAACTACTCTGTTTGTCAGACTCGTGTGATTTCTGAAATTGATGGATATCATCAAACTTACGCCATCATTCAGCGCTGCCCAGTTAAGGATCATGCAGAAGAGCATGGCCTTCCAGAAGACTTTTGCTGCTTGCCATCTTCCAAGTGCTGCCGCGTGTAAGCATCTGGTCGACCCGAGACCGAAGAGTAATGCGTACAGGTGAATTTGGTCTCCAATGGTTCTGAGGAGCTGGCATCGCCGGAGACCTCGATCTGGTATTGATCGCCTTTGAGATCGCTCATGGCTGAGAAGGAATCGTGTTGCCACGTGGGAGTCGCGAGCTAGATTGTGGGGAAACGATGGAGAAACGTGGAGAAGCTTGGTCAACCCCAGGTACTTATCCCATGTTCAGACATGGAGAGTTCTGTCCATCTGCTCAAGCGTGAGTCCAGAGTGTGGCGCTTACATCGGTCGACTGATGTCCGAAAGTTTGACCAGCCAAGATCCAGGTACACGAACGCCACGTCCGGAATGCAACCCTCCGACGGCATTCGTGGTTAGTTCAAGGGTGCACTCTTCAAACTTTGGATGTGTGGATGAGTTGCTCCCAAGACCTTTGTGTGACTTTGCATTGTCTCCGGCTGGGTAAATTGGGCCGAACGATAGGTCTGGTAGCTCATAGCTAAGCACATAGCTCTTGGTCATTCCGTTTGGTAAACCCGAATACAGAACGCTCCAGATCAAGATATGTCGATCTGTCTTGGGAAGGAGTACTTCATTCAACCAAATCTTCCATTGTGACATCTATCCGTGCGTAAAAGTTCGACACACTCTGACAGGCGTCCTAGTGTACAAATCTCGTCATCATCCACAGTCGCAGGCTCTCAAATCACGGCCACCTCTGCCGGGAGAGCACAAGTGCTTCGGACAGGTTCGTTGTCACGCCTCGAGCATTGTTCTCCTCCCCATGTGTCGTCTGACCATGACTTCGCTTGCTCTCTCCATGAGCAAAACGACCACACATGGCCTGCTTCACTGCTATCCAGATGTCTTTGAAATTTAAGACGTCCAGTGCGGCTTGCTTCCAGTTGAGTGTGATCTGTTGTGGCTCATCGGACATGTACAAGATGGCTTCCTGATCGTCGGTGACATAGGCGGGTTGACTGAGTTGAGATTCCTCGCCAACGAGGTGCTTCTTGGATTCGTTGTTATGGGCCTTGAACACTTTGTAGGGATAGGCGTAGAGGTGCATAATAGAGACAAGGGCCATCTCAAAGCAGAGAACTGTATTCGGAATCCCAACGGCCACAGAAGGATATGATATACTGTCTGTAGGGCTCATCGCTCTATCGTACTTCGTCAAATGGCTGAACAGAAACTGTGCTTGTTAGCCTGGTGCTTTGAGAGACGTATGATGTGCCTGATAACTCACACTTTGCACGTAAAAGAGAAACACCACCAGTTTGATGGCCATGAATTTTAAGAGCGGACCATGAGCGGACAACTCCAATTCAGTCTGCTTGTAAAAGTTCAGCAAGGTCCACATGGCGGTCACAAGAGAGATGATCTCGACGACGAAGATCTAGAGCGAACAGCGATGTCAGCGAACGACCACACTCCGTTTGGAGATGCTCTGTAGCGTACCGAGCTTCTGGCGTGTTTGAAGCTCATAGAATGCTTGCAGTAAACATCGAAAGCCTCTGTGATGATCTTTGCAATAGCTCCCAGGAATTTGACGACGCAGAATTGTAGCACGCAGGTCGAAATTCTCTGCAAAAGTCGACTGTCAGCTATTTCAACAGAGAAATGAAGCACTCGCGATTGATAGTGAACATACATTGAACCATGTTGAGCCGCTCGTCATCGATTTCCTGCGCAATACGAATCTTCTGAAAGGCCCGACTGGTGGAAGCCATTCACGTGGCTCGAGTAGGGCAAAGGCGCGTCGTACCACGTCCAAGTCCTGATCCATATACCGACACAAGAGCAAGAAGAAAGATGCGATCACCAGTGATTCGTAGAACTCGTAAATGACAGCAAGGTAAACGCTTGGCTTGTAGAACGGCACACTAAGAAGGCAGCAAATGGAGTAGACCGGAACCATGAACACAATGCGAATGGTACTGCAAATTGCCATCAGTACCTGTTATTCTGGCTCAGCTCAATATTAAGCATTGCTGCGCTGCTTACAGTCTTTGTAACTTTGGTTGCGTGTAGTGAGTGATGTGTTGGTAGATCAGATACGCTGACGCTGTGCATGCCACGAGTGCGCAGACCCCAGCTATTAAGATCAGAAGATCATGGGCCGTGAAATTTTTGAACAGAGGCGTTTCATGAACTACTGGTCTTTCAGTCGATATCTACCGCGTGGAGAACATAATCTTACCTCCAACATCGAGTGGGTTATCGCATCGTGCCATGGTGTACGCTCAGGGAGATCTTTGCAGTGAGCAACGAACGATCAAGACACTCGTTATGATTTAAAAGACTCGCATGCCCTGTCACTGCAAGATTTCTAAGGCTTCGACTCAGCCCAGCATCCGCCCCCAGTTTCTTGGCATTGTGTAGGCATACGGCCGGTATGCAACGTCACTGCCCAGTCAGAATGCATGATCTTTGCTGCGGTGCTGAACTCTTCGGTCGTAAATAGTGCCGGACAGGGAAAGACGCTCGAGGCATAGATCTCAGAGAGCGACGGAGCAGCAGGATCCGCCCATCTCCTTGTTCAGTTCCTGCCAATGCATAAGTCTTGGCATGGGAGAGTCATCCTATCTTGACTAACATCGGTGTTGTCGGCGGGGCGCAGGGAGTTCTAGAAAGTATAACGGAGGTCAAGACACTTGCAAATGCCGATGTCTCAGGGCATACGGGCCCTCTGGCTTTCCGATGTTGCTGCTTACTTATTGTACCAGTGGGCACAACACAGAGAGTGAAGGTCAAGGAATGTCCCGGAGCTGAGCGCATGTACCAGGCGCACCTGCGGCCCACGGATTCTCGTTGAGAGCATATGAGGTGGGCTTCTTGGACACGTCTAGTCGATCGAGGGCTTCACTTGACACTTGAGATTCCACTACGCGCTGCCATTGGCACTGACATGTAGCTTTTGCGCTTCTTCTTCCTTAAAATCTCTGCGAGAGCTCTCAGTAATGAGCGAGAAGCTCCGATCAAATAGATTGCAGACAAGACAGCCAAATTGCCAACAGTTGTTGTCACAGCATTTCTTGCCGGGCTCATAGTAATCTGCTTCAGGCTTCGAACGGGCAAAGTGGAGGTTCTTCCTGTAGAGCCTCCACGCTGGTACCATTTTCGCTGCTTCAAGTACCCCAATTCCCGGACATCGGCTCAAGACATCTTTTCGAGATCAGACAGCGATACGGAGACAGGCCGTACGGGCTCCTCACTGAATAGGGCGAGGCTGCCTCAGTGACTGCAGTCGCCATGGTCAGTCCAGAGCTGAACTCTGGCCCGGAAGAATGCAACACCTTCCGTTTCTTGTGCATGCGAGATGATCCCAAGACCGCGAACAAAGCGCATCTGGTCTCTACTAGTCCCGATCACCTCATCTTTGGCTACATCGTCCCCGCATGTCCTGGTATCCTTCCCGCGGCGAATGGAGACAAAAGCGCGTTATGTCGTCTGTTGCTCAAGTACGACTGGGCACTGGCGGATGGGACGAGTCTGGCTCCGGTGCTCACCGTAGAAGTGATAACAACTCTCGATCGCTCGAACAAGCTGCTGTGTCGTCGTTGGAAGGAGGAAACGACCTGAATTCTTTGCTTGTCTCATCACAAGACTGATTTGAATTAGTCTGTGTAGACCGTGATAGAACAGGACTGTAGTAGACCCCTCCGAGGCTTTGATTGATAGTCAGCTGCGTTGTTAGTATCGGAAAGATCGTTGCCAGGGGATGAACTTAGAAGTTTCATCTAGCCAGAACGGTGCTAGCGTCGTAATACCCGGTAGGGTTTATCTCGACACGTGATCGGACTACTGTCATCCGAGTAAACACCTCTCCTTCGCACATAGTCAGCCGAAGTCGTACACCGCGCAAGCATCACAATGCGGAATAGCCACCGCCGAAATGCCAGCCCAGCGCGGCGTGCGTCGAGGCCTGGCTGACAAGGCTTGCAATGAATGCCAAAGGAGAAAGACGAAATGCATTCCCTGCGCAGACAGTCCCCAATGCGCATTTTGCAAACGAGCCGGGAAGACCTGCATCTTCGAGGAGCCGCAGCAACGGACGCCTCTCACGCGGCAGAATCTTGACCAAGCAGAAGCACGATGTCGAGAGCTGGAGCAGCTGTTGTATCAGCGTGAGGGCGAGAGTTTGGCTGCCACGGCGATGGAGAGTGAAACTCAGCAGGAAACGACCCAGGTACGGCCACGTGCGCCTCATGCTCGGGAAGGGACAGCAGACTACGAGTGGAATGAAGCCTCAGATCCTGAGCAGAGTAATCAGTCATCTGATAGCGATCACGCAAGAGATGGCATGGCCGCGCTGACCAGTAAACATTCCGGTTCTGGCTATCTGGGAAAGAGCTCGGGTCATGAACTTCTCCAGTCTGTGTCATCCTTTCTACCGCCTTCAAGTTCTACCGGGCGTCGAAACACACGAACTCTGCCAGAAACGCCCATCTCAAACGTGGGACCTTCCCACGAGCTCTCGAGCATCACCTCAAACACCATGTCCGCGACCTTCATTCAAGAGCAGCTCATTTCGGCGTACTTCACTATGTACAATGCCTACTATCCTATCCTCCAGGAACGCTCGTTCCGCGAGCAATGTGCCAGGAGGAAGTCGTTGCCTCGGGCCTCGTCGTGGCACATTACCTACTATGCGGTATTGGCCATGGGCGAATGGGTGTCTGGGAGTGGTGCCGAAGACCAGCCTTCGCTATACTTCGAAGCAGCACGGTCATTACTGAAACCCGAAGTGCTTGAATCGGGCTCTCTGAACAACGTGCAGGCATTTTTGATACTCGGAAACTATCTGCAGAAGACTGATCGTCCCAACACAGGTTACAATTATCTCGGTATAGCTCTGAGGTTAGCCATGGGCTTAGGCCTGCATCATGAACTCCCCGACATGTCCAATGCCAGCCCTTTCAAGAGACACCGTCGTCGGATACTGTTCTGGGTCCTGTATTGCTTTGATAGCTGGTTCAATATCACGACCGGCAGGCCTTCACTCCTCTCGGACGCCAGTTTCGACGTTCGAATGCCACGGAACGTGGACGAAAGCTCTGTCGATGATCAGGGTATGGTCAATGAGACGCCGGGGCCGACAGTCTGTTCCGTGACCATCGCCCTTGCTCGCTTGACCAAGATTGCCAACAAGGTCTACAACGAATTAATTTGTGCAACTTCATGCTCTGATGTTGATCATCAGACTGTGGTAATGGAGCAAATGATCCAGAACTGGCAGGCTGCCCTACCAGTGTACATGAGCAGTCCGGATGTTCCTGCATGGTTCCTTGGACCGCGGCAGACAGTAAGCTGGAAAGCAGCAAATTTGCGTGTGCTACTGCTCCTTGCAAGCCAGAGGCATCGCGTGGACACTTTTGAGAAGCTGGCCGTGGGATCAAGGTGCCAGTCTGTTGCTGCTTCGACTATCAACGATATCGCCTCATTCTGTGAGCAGCATGCAGATCAGCTACACAGCGGGCTAGCCTGGTACGCGGTCTACTTCATGCTGCAATCGATGCTCTCATTCACTTCACAATGCGTATATCGGCGAAGAATGGATCAAAATCTGCACGATCTGGATACTCAGTACTGCGAGAACACTGCAACAGTGGCAGTAAGCTGTATCGAAGCGATGAGAGCGAAGAATGCAGCTGCCAATCGAGCCTACCGCATCGTGAGCCGTCTCCGAGATGTGGTCAGACAGACAAGTGGCATTGTGCCTATGGATGTGGTCGTTCAGGCTGGCATAGAGTCGCACGGAACGGCGCAGTTGCCCGTTGAGCATCTGGCGCATTCTGCTTACCTTGACCCTCAAGACCCGCCGACCGATCCCAGCATTTCGCTTGATTTCGACCAAGCGATTCCTAATCTTGTCCTCGCGGAATGGGGCAATGCTGCAGATTTGTCGTTACATTCTCTTTTTAACGGAATGGACGACTTTGAGCCTGCGAATATGTACAACTGATGAACGATGCGATTGACGAGAGGCACAGGCGAAAGCTTTTCAACGATGCTTTGCGCGAAAGAAGAGACACCTGCTGGCGATGGCCAAGTACGATACGGTTTAAAATTTGCCACAGCCAAAGCCGCCATCACCTTGATGATATTGCGCCGGCATATTCTCCGCACCACGCTAGAACTCCGCTCGATATTTCGCGAACTATTCCACTTGGCCATGCCCTCAGCAACAGCCGACGCCGTTAACAAGGCAAGAACCTCGTCCACGGGGATGAGTGTGTAATGCGCCGGAGCATGGGCGACCGAGACCGTTTCAAGCTAGCAAGCAGCCACAGGGTTACACTCGCCCTGACCTAGCCTTCGGCCCACAGTCTTCCGATGCCCAGCAACAGATGTCAACGCAGACGCGGCCTCAGAACACTGCAGTGTCGCGACTCACAGCGTCTGTCGCACTGTTATATCTGCTTTTGCTGTCTAATCTCAACCAGCATTCACCATGTCGATGACAATTGAGGAAGTCACTGGCGCGGCGCCGCGTGCTCCAAAGCCAGTGCCCAATACGCCTGAAAGCGTTTTCGCACAGCTTCGGATGGATGGGAAGGTTGTTGCTATTACAGGTGGAGCAGATGGTATTGGTTTTGCTGTCGCAGAGGCTGTTGCAGAGGCCGGTGCCAATGTGGCTTTGTGGTACAACACCAACGATGCTGCTGTCGCGAGAAGGAAAGACCTTGAGCAGAAGTTTGGGATCAAGGCATTAGCCTATCAAGTTGAGGTTTCGGACCACGAGGCTGTGGAGAAAACAATCTCTCGAGTGGTGGCAGATTTTGGCAAGCTCGATGTGTTCGTGGCGAACGCTGGCATGGCGATCTCCAAGGCGATTACTGAGCAGACTGTTGAAGAGTACAGGAAGCAGATGTCTGTGAATGGTGAGCGAAAGTCGGCATGATTCTTGTTGGTTCAGGCTGATTCATGACAGTCGATGGGGTGTTCTACTGCGCAAAGTATGCTGGAGCAGTGTTCAAGAGTCAAGGCTTTGGAAATCTGATCATTACATCGAGCATCTCGGCCCATATTGTCAACGTCCCAGTTGATCAGCCCGTAAGCCCACAACGACGCCTGTATGCCAGTACCTGCAGACGCTGACAGTTCCAAGGTGTACAACGCGACCAAGGCTGCAATCAATCACCTTGGGAAAAGCCTGGCTCGAGAGTGGAGAGATTTTGCCCGTGTGAACATCGTGTCTCCAGGTTTCTTCAACACCAAGATGGGCGCTGCTCCCCGAGTTGTCAATGAAGCGACCCGCATGACTCCACTTGGCCGACAAGGAGATGTGAAAGAGATCAAAGGACTGTACTTGTACTTGGCGAGTGATGCTTCTTCGTATCAGACCGGTAGCGATATAATAATTGACGGTGGCTACGTTCTTCCGTAGATTTCTATGGACCGTGCGTCCGATAACGCAGGTAGCAAACTCAAAGAAGGCGTCGACCTACGTCTTAACTACTAGCAAGCTTTTTACTCGAGGCGCAACGTTTATCGCCTCTAGCTTGCGACTATATGCCTTATATACCTAAACGTCGAACCGCGTCCTCTAGTAGTATCTTCGCGTACGACTTAAGCTCGGGACGCCTAGATGTCCGTTACGAATATCGCCTCCTAGGACAACCTTATAACCTAGCTTTTCGTACTCGAAGCTTATCGCGATAGCCCGTTATGCCTTGGACAGGCAGTGGTCATCCTCCGCAAACTTCCTCGCGGACCTGAGTTCCACAACTTCCTCAGCAAAGAGACATTTGACAAACTCGAGTCACACATACTTGCCGCGCATAAGCGGACTACGAGCACGGCAGGGAAGCACAGAAGTCTTTCGCTCGGTCACTGGAAATTACCTCTTGCTGTGGACTGGGCACTTTTTGGAATCGTGTTCCTCACGAGCTATAGATTCTGCGACAATCTCCTCGATGCTCAAGCTGCTGGTCTTGAGTTGGCCTCGCTCTATGACCGTGTAGTAAGCATTCGCGACGAACGAATTGCACGTGGAGCAAAGTCCGCTCGTAGCCACAAGCGACCCGTCCTCGAATGGACGCCGCGAGACGTCCAAGAAGCCTTGCGCCAACTTGTGGCCGAGAAGAACACAACTGAGTCAATAGCCAGCAGCCACACCGAGTCTCCGCTCCGGATGGAGTCTCCTCTCATATCCGAGACTTCGCTAGAGATCAAGGACGAGCCAGGTCACGAGGACAGCAAGGCTGAAGATGCAGTGTCTCGCTTAAGCCTCAACCCAGAAGACGATCTGACCTACGTGATTGAACGAGTTGGATATTTTGATGTAGCGTCTGCGCTACGAAGCTCGAGTATGACGCCACCAGAGCACTGTTCTCCAGAAGTACATCAGCTTTGGACCGATTTGGGAGGTCTCCCAAGGCTGCTGCCATCTTCGATGCTATTTCCCGGTACGTCGACGATCCCCGAGAGGGAGCTGTACGTTGAATGTATGCGCCTCGATGAGTTCCAATTACTGCGTGGTTCTGAGCAGGTGGTTGCCGATAGCGAAGAGGAGAAGAGGCGGTTACTTGAAGAGCTCGCGTACGACTACCGACACGAAGAGCCGGTCGCGGAGCAATACAGTGCAGTGTTCAGGCTAGAAGAAGGATACACACTCTGCATCCCGCCTCTGCAAGACGACCTCATCGCCAAGGTAGATCATCACACTAGTGTGTCTCTTAGGAGCCATGGAGATCTTACTGACGTGCAATTTGGTGCGTATCGTAGTATAATAGACTACGGATTGACACTAACTGTGGCTAGATCGTAAGTCGTGCGTCCTGTTCTGGCCTGTTGGCAACACTCGCAGCATTATGTTCCTTTGGCCTTCGACCCAGTACAATCTCGAGAAAGTGCAAGAGCGCTCTGGCAAGGATGGCCGACTTCCATTCTGCTGCGAAGAACTCATGGGCGGCTTGGTAGCAGTCTTGCACACCACAGAAGCGCTTCGCATACGCCCTGGCACGATCTATACAATCTTGACTGTATCGGGAGGCTTTACCATGTCACGATCCTACGTCGATGCACGCGGCGTCTAGCCACACCAGGAAAAGACTCTCACTGAATCGCCTGGCTCGAGTTCGAGAACGACATGCTTGTAGCGATGAGCGCGCATTGAGGTGCTTGGTATTGCCAGCTCCACGGTGACTGGAACGCCCTGTGATGGCTGCGCAGCTCGAGAAACATTCTACGCGTATCTTCACCGTCACCGGCCTTCCTTGGTAGGGCGGTTTTGCGTGTACAATCGAATTTTCGGACGAGTCTTGCCAGATGCAACATAGAAAACTACAGTGGAAAGGCAAAGCAAGATGTGAGAAGAATATGGATTCCTGGATGCGGGTCATAGCCGATATTGGTTGACTTCAAGCCCGCATATGAACGAACAGTATTTGCTGGTTGCCGAGTGAAGCCTCGAGCATCACGCATGGCATCTTATCAGCCTCAGAGCGCTCGGCTTGCCAAATGTTATGTTGTAGTGCATACTGCGAGCAATAACTGTGATCTCAATGGATGAGCAACTGCATGCTCAACGCCCTTCCCAAGGCGTGGAAGCAGTATCTGACTCGCACGTTTCCTCTGAGCCCTCTGAACCCGATGCGACAATCGAATGAGTGATATGATCGACTTCAACAGGGCGCCCAGGGTATTGTCGCCAATGAAACAAAGCATCGGCTGTGAAAGGAATTCCCCTCCTCTGGGATATGCTCCATTGACTTTCTGCGATTCTTCCATGCACTTTGTCACGCATCCTGCCCTGTAGTTTGTCATCGAATCAAGTCACAAAGAAATTTCCGCTATTGTTCTCACTATCCTCTTCTGATCAGCAGCAACCAGTGCACAAGATGTAACACCCGTGGCTGCGAGTACAGTACGTCCCACCGAATTTCTCATTCCTTTATTGACTGTCGGCGTTCCAAGACTACGTTGAAGTCTTTGTTCACGACAAACCACTGCGAGATGGTCCGGTATGGAGCTGCGGCATTGACCGGAGTCATGTTGTAACGATGGCAGAACTCCGCGACAAAACGGTAAGTTTCGACCAGCGCGAGGTTGCGTCCGATACAGGTTCTCGACCCGTAGCCGAACGGTAGAAGTAGTCAGCAGAGTGATCAATTGCACAGAGTTGAACCCATGACTTACGGTGGTATTGAACTTCTCGATATTGCGTACATATTCGTCCGTCACGCCTTTGTTCCCTGCAATGTATCTTCCCGGGTTCCATTCTGAAGCGTCGTTTCCAAAGACAATCTCATCGCGATTAGCAGCGTAGGGACTCAGACTCACGACAGAACTCGCAGGAATGTAATGGCCGTCAATAGTAATGCCCCCGTCTGGCACATGCCGAGGAAGCTGCCGCACGATACTTGGTGTGAGTCTGAGAGCTTCCTTGACGCAGGCATTAAGCCAAGGAAGTTTCTCAGCGGTCTTGTAGTCGATCGTGCCATGAGCTTGGAGTTCACCTCGGGCATAGGCCTCATCGACCTCCCGTTGCACGGCTTTGTAGTCCTCTGGATGGCGAACGAGCTCGCCGAGCACCGAGCTGATGCCTGCAGATGTTGTATCGGCTCCTGCGCCGATCAGATTGCCAGCCTCAACGACCACTCCAGGAAAGTCCACTGTACGTCCATCCGCTTCTTTCATGGAGATGAAATGGTTGAGCATATCCGGGTGTCGCTCAGGATCGTTGGGAGTTTGCATACGGTCTTGAACTTGCGAGAACAGCCAGGTTGCGAAATCGCGTCCTGCACTTGATGAAGTATGGCCGGCTAATCGAGACAGTGCTTGAGTTATGGGATTTCGCAACCAGACCATTTGGCCAGGAATGTCACCAAAGACGGAAGACATGAAGAACAAGTCGTGAATCGACTTGATAATGCCTTTGACATCAATCCCCTGCTCGAGAAACCCGAGTGGGCCGCCTATACCGAGAGTACAGACCACGTCGAAGGCAAAATATGCTGTCCAATGCTGCAAATTGACAATCTTCCGCTCAGTGGCCATATCGTCGAGTCTCATGAAGGTCAGATGGCCAACGTTGTCGATCTCCGACTCCAGGCTCAAAATGGTGGACATGGAGTACGCTGCCGAAACTCGCTTCCGTAGGAAGGCATGCTCGCGAGGGTCTGTGGCGGAGAAGAACTGGACGCCATATTAGTCGTGTAGGTAGCACGTAGGCAGGATATACATTGCTTACTCCCGTGCTTGCCCCTGGCTGTGTCTAGACATGATACTAGCTAGTCTGTCTCCCGTTAGCGTACGTGCTAAAGAAGGATTTATATTAAGCTATACCTTTCTCGTTCCCGACGTATAGCTATAGAGCTTAATTAACGCGTCTTTGTCGATAAAGCTTACTTTATTAGGTGCAATCCTTACTACTCGTCCGTACTAACGATATAGATTAGTAATATCGGTATACTATTACCCGCGAGTATACCTAGATACCTTCTATAGTACCGTTACTTTAGCTAGTAGCGGTCCTAGTACTAAGCGTAATAGGTAAAGACAAGTTAGGTAAGCGATATATACGAGTAGTACGACTAAGACGGCTAGTAGAACGTACCTAATATATATCTACGCTACTAACGATACTACTAAGCTATCGAGCCGTTCTTAAATATTAAGTAAAGAACCTATATTAGCCTAGCTTACCGCTACGCTATTAGCGGCTACGTAGGTATAATATATAGAAGTCTTATCTACTTCGGATCTTACTAAGCCGGTATATATAGAGTCGAGGCGCTAGTTATAGAGTACTCTTAGAGGTATATCTATTACTACTATACTTAGTTATAATTAATATCGAATTACTAAACTCTCTCCTCTACTCTACTATAGTAATTTAGTAGTACTCTATAGTCTCTATATACTATTAACTATAGCTTTTCTTCCTATTCTCTTTCTATATACTCGGGATAGTNCTATACTTACTCTACTAGCGCTATCGAACGCTAACGCTACGAGACGTTTCTATTATATATATTATATAAAATCGTTTAAGTATAGCGAGTATTACTAGCGCTATCTATATAGTCGTAAGTACTTCTATAACTAGAAATATACTATATATAGCTACTAAATATACTACTAGTAGATACCTAGGAGAAGCTATTCTAGTATCGCTATTATACTCGCTACTATAGCTATAAGTATATTACTATTCTAATATATAATATACTATAGTATACTAATTAGTACTTACTTACTATAGAGATCTTATAATATAGTATATCGAGACGTTATATACTACTAAGTATAA